TCTTCTGACAACAAACAACCAGGTTCATTGCACAACCCCATCACCTTGTGGATCGGGTAGGTGCAGGTTGGTGCGGCTCTGGCCACCCCTGGCTCAGACACAGGGGAGCTCCTACATCGACCCTTTTCACTCCCTTTTGACTCGCCAACCTTGTAGATGTCTTCAAGATACATTTTTGCACATGACTCTCTCTCTCTCTCTCTCTCTCTCTCTCCATCGAATTTGTGTGTGTGCTCCTTGATATCGCACATACCATTATTTCCTCGAATGAAGGCGTCCCCGTATTTGTTCTTCAGCTGCCCATTGACATACTCCTCAGTTTGCTCCATGGCTATGTTCATGTACCCATCCAAGCAGGCAAGAATCCCTGCAAAAGAACAAAATGGCAGCAAGAAACAACCAATAGATGGGAGGTCAGTTTCAGAAACATCAGGGAAGAGCGAAGAAGAAGGGGGAAGTGGAGGAGGAAATGGGATCCGCGGAGAAGAAGACATAAGATTCCGCCAAAGGCTTCTGGAGACCTTCATATGCCCCTGAATGTGACTGGACCAGGTGCTCAGTCGGGGTACACATACACTCATCTCAAGACACTGAGGTCAGCCGCTGCAAACTTACCAGGGGGGCACAGCGCAAACCACCCAAGGAAAAAACAAGTGGGGGGGGCCAATTTGGGGCAAAAGACCCACCGTGGACCCCTGAAAAGATCACCCGAGCACGGGGCGGGCACACGGGGTCTTCTTCCAAATTTCATTCATATTTGCACTGAACAGTCACACACAGGTCCTAGTCTTGCCAGGACGGCCAGCAAATTGCATGCATGCACAATTTAAAGAGTTAAATTCAGGATCGTGCAGCATTTCTCTTTCCCTCTTCCTTGTTTCTTATATAAAGTATTTCAGATCGCCAGCAGAATGGTTCGACAACAGACGACCGATTGATAAAAGCATGATAATTTACGAGAATTTATTAATTTGTTTGCGTAGGCGAACAGAACTACTGAGAAAGGATGGGGAAAAGGAGGGGGAGGGA